ATCTTTCGTACACAAAGCGCGTAGCTATGCCTCGCCGTACGTCGTAAAAAGTAAACACCAAGGCTACGTGTCAACCGATTTTGAATATATAACGCTTTATAACTGTATTTTAAACTGAATATGCGTTGTTCTTAGGATTTAAAGTCAATTTTGACAAATGGGTTATCATAATGAGCTAACTTACTAAAGTTAACGTTTATTCGTTAAAAAATGAAATTCATCTTCTTTCAATCGAAAAAATTATTATGTAAAATAATATATTATTACTATTTTGTGACGAATTTTTACATCCGTAAAGACATGTGATTATGGGATTTTATAAAAGACGTCTTATAAGTTAGCGGAACAAAATGAGCAAAACCAATTCTAATTAATATTTTTTTTGTTACTCATTTGTTGCTAAAAAGTTGTCAAAGAAAAACGGTTCCGCTAACTGGCTAACTTTTATAAGTTTATGAAAGTAAGAACTTTTCTTTATAACTTAATTCTTTTCTAATAAATCAAGAAAATAAAATTTAGTTGTCGCAGCGCATGACATATGTAGAGGACTTGTTTTTTCCTGATTCATTAAAATTGTACAATTTTATTCTTCTCAAGACATAAACATTTGAAAGAAATTAATAATAACAATGACTTGCAATATATAATTGCCATTTTCCGATCACAAAAATAAACTGTGGTCTTCAAATTTATATTTGCTAACTCTTTAATGTCAGATTCTATTAATTCTTTTCAAATGGATTTATTATTTATTATTGAAATTCTCACGAATTCTACTTTTACATAAATACTTAAAAAAAAGGAATAAATAATGTGCATGTAATTTTTAAAATCAGTTATAGCTTATTAATTGATTACCTACAAATCAAAGAAAGCAAAATTTGCTATAAATAGTAAAAATCAATATCGTTTGAAATTTATTAGTGAATTAATAAAAACAAACAAATAAATAAATAATAAATTGATACGTGTGTGTGTGTCCGCACAAATTCTGTATTCAAAAACTATTTACATTTAAAAATTTTTATATTAGAATTTTTGATTTATTATTTAATCTCGAGATTGCCACATAAAAGTATTACGTAAAAAGTATTATGAGGTACATGTCACAATAAAAATAAAATAAAATAAAATTTTATAATGCATGGAATAATCAGGACTATTTTTCTTAAATAACGAAACGGATCGATGAAGAATTTTGCGAATGCGGTCGTCGATGGCTGGATACACGTAAAAAAAAAACGGAGCATGGAATACGGAATATTCGTCTGAGAGACGACGTGCCTTCGACACGGTTCACCGATCTCTCTCGAGACCGGCGTGCACGTGATTTCGTGCCGGGTTCCTGTGTTTCATTCACGAACGAACGCCCGGAGCGAGATACGGCGAATGTTAATGAGGCGACTCCGGTCAGCTGCTCCGATCCCGCGAGAGGGATAATCCTCGTGGAAATTAAATTCCGGAATTCCCGTGTATCCACGGTACTGACTCACGGCGAGAGCCTTCGAAGAACACCCTCTTGCCCATCTCTGTGGCGCATTATGGAAATCGTCCGCCTCTCGGAACGTTCCGCTTCCTACGCTCGATGCTACAATTATATGGCGCGATCGTCATAACTGTATGCGCGAAAGACTATGGTATTAAGAAACGCAAAGTAAAATATGTTTCGCAGCAACATCCTGTAAGTTGTCTTATAATTCTCGGCCGATAATAAATATCATATTGTCAGCATATCGTGTAATTTTCATCGATCTTGTCGCAATTCGTTGCCGCAAATTACTCCGTGTCACTTCCAGAGCTTAACGAACATAAGCGAGGAATGATCGAATACTATTCACGCTGCGCGAAACGCGCACAATCGCCATCGGCGACAACTCCTTAAGCTGACTTTATACTATGGGCGTGGAGTCGTATAAGCGCACTAGCTGCACACCCCATAAACATACCTACGCTATATTCCACGCCGTCGCACTTCCCGACAAAAATTCTGTAACACGAGACCGATGGAGAACCTCGTGCCACGCTACTACCTTTCTACTGACTAGATGCATCCCTTTAGGAGATGCATTCTGTCCGAGTATTGATGTTGAGTGCACGCAAAGAGAGAAGCATGAAACACGCAATGAACGTTTGATCCGATTAAGGAACAAATAGCAATATAAATGTTAATAATTTTCTGATAATATCACAGTTATCAAAACACGATATTTAAAGAAGCAAATTTAAGGAGAAATCGTGAAGCAAATTCATATTATTTAAGATAACTATATTGACGAAATAATCTAGAATGTTTTTCGTGCAATTGCAGCGAACAGTAAGAATATAATATCAAGCAATTCCGAAAGAGCGAGTGCACTCGCATGCATTCCCCGCAGGACGTCCCACGGCACTGTGGGACATGAAATTTATGACCACGATCCCTCGGCCAGGCAATCCGTCAGAGACGATCGCGAATCTCAATCCTCGTGTACCGACTTGACGGAGCTCGTCTCGGAGAGAGACGGAGAACGCCCCGTGGATGCAGCTTGTATTACAGAGGGTCAGCGAGATCCGCACACTTTATCAAGACAGGAAAAAAAGAGTTCCACGCGATTCTTCGGCACAATTTGTCGTATACAGATTCGTATCCCGTTTCATAGGACTTTATGATACATTATTTAGACTGCTCTCGATCGAAAGCGCGTCGATCTTTTCAATCGGACTAATTCGACTTTTGTTTGTGATAGAATTTGTTTTATGGAACTCAAGATGTGCGACAAAAGTAATAATTAATCGTCGATGTGTGGCTGATAAGTAGGATTATATCGCCTCCGGCCTGTTCTGCCGCGCCGCCTTGAAAGACACCGCGAGAAACGGCTGTCGCAATCCTGCCTTCTTAATGACATCGCGAGAAACGATTGTCGCAATCGTATAAACCCTCGTGCTATACCCCACGTAGCGAAAGGGCATTAATTGAGCGGCGCGCAACGTCGTGATTACGCGCGACTGCGGAATCGAATAAATAGAATCTTAACCGTGACTGATTGCCTGACACCGTCAACCGGACACACAATCGTAGCATGTCGTTCCGCTTCGCTCATTGTCATCGATCTCGGTGATTGAGTACCCTACCATCGAGTACCGCGACCCATTTAACGGGAGTATTTTTGTGCTAGTCCGTTATGCACGCCCTATATAAAGAAGTCTCGCGTAACAAGATTAAATTTTTTTATTAGTTTTACTTTAAGTCTCACATGTGATTCGCAAGAAGAGAGATCGTCTCGGAAGATATCTCTATACGAGATAAAAAGTTCGAGGAACTGCCTTCGTGGTAACGTAAGTACTTCTGAGCTACGAAACGAAATCGTTGGTACTTTCCCTGCAGTTTTGCGACTCTCTGCTATCTCCGATGCAGAAACACCGTGCATTCTTCGCACGTCGCGTAATACGCATAATACGAAACGACGCGCGGCACTATACGAATGCAAAAGTTGGATTTTTAATGCACCCTCGCGCTTCTGCGTTCTGCAGCGTGTCGCAGCAAACAGGAATTTCGATTTTTTTAAACGCGTAATATAATGTACATAGTCGATCGTTTTTTCTTCGAGTAATACATGGTGGATTGCAAGCTTTCTATTGCACATGATGCGCATCGATCAACCCGTTGCCAAATGTTTGGCACAGAAATGGTGGTGTAATTACGAGCGCGACGTGCTTCATTTGCGATGTGACGCGTGTCGCAGAGAATTTCTCTCGCAGGTGATGATTTTCTAACTTTCAATTAACCTCTTTCAATTAACCGAATTCTTATTCCTGGCGCGACGATTCGATCGAATTCGCCTCACATTTTAACGAGAGGGGAGAAAATCGATCGCCAATCTCATCTATTTTTCCATGGAAGATATAAGTAGTGAGAAAAACGATAATAGATGTCCGTCAAGAACGTCCAATGGTGAAATTAAGTCTATTAAATTCTTATTTATAAGATGTCCCAGAAAGCGTGACTATATAATATTTTAGGATAGGAATAAAATTTTTAAATGAGACTAAGGAATTAGTCGTCAAGAAGACTGACATATATGCCGTGAAACTGTTGGCCGGATGTTCGACGTAATATCGAGCGTTCGCCTATTTATATCGAACGTCAATTCCACGTCAATTATTGGGACGACGACCGATCGAATCGCGTCAGATGCGAGCGGAAATCGGTACGTGCGAGCAGTGATGCAGAGCAATTAAAGCCGATTAAAGGCTGGCTAAATGCGGCCCGACGATAGCTTCTGCGCCGGCAGCGTGTCAGTCGGTAAAACGGCTAGTTTGTTGTACGGCGGAGGGCACACAAAAGTGAGCCGGGTTAATTGAAGCCAATTAGAACCGGGTCGGGCGTGTACGAGTCGATAGTCTGGGTTTTTAAACATAATGTTATGCAGTCGGTAGCCTCGTTGCTCTCATTAGTCCCGCCGTCGCGTTGTGACTAGAATGTTCGCTTGTTATGTCCAAAGGTTCACTTGCATATTTACAATCCGTGTTGATTGTTCGACACGTAAATATCATTAAAAAGTTTGTGAAAAATGCGATGTAGAATATCGCATAACTATAGTTGTTGTTTTCTGGAGAGCCTTAAATGACTTAAAGAGCTCTAAAGGAAGAACGACAGTTCCGCGATACCGTGTATAGCTATAAGGAAAGGAGGAAGCTGGATTAGCTTCTTGTGTGTATACCGTGTAACATTATTTACAAAGTTGCTTACGCGTATCATGCGCGAATTTAAATCGACAATATTATATATGGCTACATCGCGAAGCCACCGCGTAACCATTTTCCGCACTGCGGCGTAAGTAAATATTTAACGAATAAATAAATGACGGTGTAGAAGAACGGTATATAGAAGAATATCTACCAACGAGCTTTTCGAACGTGCTTTTCGACTCTCTCGCGCATAATGTATCGACATTGGCTATGCGTATCGCGCACGCATTCTAACATTCTCGTATAAATGTTTATTCCTGATTTTATTGCAGACCACGAGCGTGGGTGGTGGCAGCGTAGTGGAGAAGCTATCGTTCTACAATCACACGGAATGTGAATGCAAGGAGAGGTCCGAGTACGACACGACGAACGAGAAACCCGCGGACCAGAGAGTCTATCGGCACTATCAGTCTTCATCGCCCCCTCAAAATATGAAAAAACCGCCGGCGAGAAAACCGTAAGTTCGCGAAAGAGCATCTTTAACAATCCGCAACTATTGTCGATAGAACATAAAATATCGAAACTATTTTATTTAAACCCATTCATTTATATTGTACTCGTATTTTAACGTAATATTTTTAAACAGAGAAACGGTTCAGAAAATTTCTCACTATCCTATAATTGTTGCTAAAAATTGAACTCGTTAATCCAATAATTATTTAAGAAATTTACTTCAGATGCCGTTGCCCATCGGAATTCACGCCGAGGATCACCCCGGAAGGAATTTGCCAGTGTAACTGCTACGAGAGCAACGAAAATTGTATAAAGACCAAACGTGGAAAGGTATTCTTCTCCCTTGCGGACAGAATGTGAGTATATGTCTACCTGCAATTTTGCGATACTTTGCATACTTCGTATGCCGAAAAATATTTAGTACGCGTGCATGAACTTAAAAGTGCGACGGTAAAATATCGTGGCACCTACATACTAATCACCGCGGCATTTGCAAGATAAAATAATGTGAACTCCGTTTGTATACCATAGGTACCGTAAAATTTCAATATAATCGCTTTGCGGGACTTTCAAGTCCAATTTAGCTTCAACTGTACTTTGTCAAACATTTACACATTGTAACGAATACGTTTGCTCTAGTAATCTCGTTGTTCCAAAAATTTCGATCGAATAAAAACTGATTTCTCAGCTAAAAACTAATAATGTAATTCTGCACATGAAAAGTACTCCGATATTCGTATAACGATTATTTAAAAATGTAAAGAAACGTTTCGACCGACCGACCAGCTCCAATCTGTGTCATATCTAACTTTTTTGGCTTACAGATGCATTCAGAACAACGAATGCGCAATGCCTAACTGCGAGTTCGGCGAGTACATGAAGTGGCAAGGCAAGTGTCCGCGGAAGAGGGACACTTTCGACGCGATGACGAACTACCGCACGAATCTGAATCATCGATTCAGAAGCTAAACGGGCCGCGGTAGACGGCAACGGATAGCGAAGAGAACGAGGATGACAATCGCGATAAAATGCGATTCTAGTGCCAATGAAGACGGAGAGCACGCGACGAAGCGCACGAGAAACCGACGGTGCCATTTTCTTCTATGTTCTTTTAAATGTCTTCGTCAGAGAGAGAGACTCGCTATATGTACATACATGTACGCGTATGTTATATGTATAAAAATGTACGTCGTTATTTAGGCACGCGTATGTATCGTCGTCGCTTCCTTTCTTTTTCTTGCCGCGATCGGCGAGGATACGAAGTGATAACGGTCGTCGATTTTTCAGTACCGGTGATCGTCTCGCGGGGACAGTAATATAGTATTTCGATGTTTAATTGATGAGGTATAATTTTATAGCGCTCGATGTTCAGCAGCGGTTCTCTCCATCGCGAGAGAGAGAATAAGTAAGTTGATATTCAATCGTAAGATTTCGAGTCGTTAAGATAAGAAGATAAGATTTTATGTTAACTGAAACGATTTCTCTATAGGATAGAACGATATATATAAATTAACGATTGCATTAGAAAATTATCAGTGATGAGATAAAGTGCTTCTAATAATAATCTTCGTGGAGAAAAGAGTGACTGTCTATTGAGCAAGAATCTCGACGGCAAAAGAAACTCGCCGAATAAAATCGCGCGGCGAGCCACCGAAATTGTGCACGTAGATCTGACATGAGAAGGTGCGATAACGTCTCTAAGTTAATTAATGATAATTTTATACGATAACCGATACCTCGGGTGTCATAGATTTTACGCTGAGAAGAAGACCTCGGACGTGAGCCTAGTCTGAGATCCTGTTTCCGTTCTGCGCGAGAGAGCTCTCGGTTCGTTGGATCACGCGTGGATGATCGAATTTGGCGAGCTGAATTCCCCGATGGTTGCACCCCCTCCCCTCTCCATAGTTTTCATTTCTTCAATTAAACTATACGCAACGTAATTATATGACTAATATGCTTATTATGATGAATGAATAAGAAATACCAAAGCACGCGAAACACGGACACGAGCGATCGCGCAGACTCGAAACAGATCGTTAATGTAGCCCCAATTTGTATGTTACACGATTACAGAATATCTCTATTGTATTTAATCGAGCATTGATGTACGCCCCCCTCCCCCACGTTCGTTAATTTAATATTTAATCGATAGAGAGAGAGAGAGAGAGAGAGAGAGAGAGAGAGAGAGAGAGAGATTGGGCGCTCTGTTCTTACACCTTCACGCAGGTGATGTAACACACGTGAGTGGCCTATCCACGCGCTGCGAACTGCGCGTTTGTAACTTTGTATTTTTTATGTTATTAATAAAACAGCAAAATCACAAAGAACTAAGTACGGTAGACCAATTGTGTGCGTCGAAACGTAAATGCGTGCTTGGACTATGCGATTGTCTGCGAATACCGCCGCTTTTCTTTACTACGTGACTATAATATAATCTAGAGAATATAAAATATAATACTGTACGATTTCACTTCTTATCTCATTCTCCCTCTTCCAATCTCAAAAAATAGTCTCAATTCTCAAAAAATGGTCTCCTATAATTTAATATCTTTATACAGTCTACAATATAAAAACATATCTTATGTTAAACTAATATATAAATACCTCGCGGTTTTTGCAATTAAGCTTTTTAAAACCTATTTATAAAATCTATTTATGAATATCACTCTTACTCGTAAATCTTTTTAGATGGAATCTTCCATCTCGCATTTAACGAAAAGTCAAGCGAAATATCGCCCGGGGATGAAAGGATAACACGCGTTTTTTATTGTTCAAAAGGGATCGCAGAAACCGCTTAGACTTTTTCGACGTAAGGAATTAAAAATCGCGGGTGGACTGCGTGTCTCAACGTTACATTCTTCAGTCCAAATCGGAGAAGCGTTTCTCCATCGTACGCTTCGCGCGCGCGCAAGTGTATTTCTACACTTTTATTTATATTACATTTGCTTATATATATTATATAAATATATATTATATCATGTATTATATATATTGCATATATCTACAAATTTAAATATACATATAATACTATAAAATGTATGTTAAAGAAAAATATATTAAATTTATAATTTTATATCACACTTTTTGAATTAGAAATATATTTAATTTGATTCACAATTTTGTAATACACAAACTGTAAGTATCCGCGCGTAAATCGGTCTTTATTTCTCACGAGGAAGTTATGGAGAGAATTATGGGAGTTATGGTTAATATAAATTCGTGCATGGATCTAAGGAATACAGTATCAAATGTATCAATCATCTAATGAGATGCGAATTAATTATTTATCGTGGAGTTTTCGAAAATCCAACATTGCACAAAAGAGCCGAAATTTCGCTTTTGCATATGCACGACTGTGTATGATCACTATGAGTGCGATCCACTTGGTGCTCCAAACGCTTCTTGGAAACATTTCAT